GGGGGGGGGAGAAGAACCCAAAGCAATATGGACAAACGAGTGACAAAAATGAGAATGCGGAAGAATTCCTTCAGTGCCAGGAAAATATGATGGAAGTAGCCCAGCTTGTGAGCCTTATGATAGGAAATGCTTGACATGGGCCATGTTTAGCTATTTTGTCCCTTTTAGGGGTGAGAGCTTCTCAGTACATCTTATACAAGTAAACAGAAGGGTAGCAGAGGCACATACCACCCCACCACCCATACCACTGCTTCCTGGCTCAACTGCACTGCCCCGTAGCCTACCTGACTGAGCAGGAGTGACACAGGAAGTCCATGCTCACAGCTGCTGTCAGCAGCTTCAAGTAGAATAGGAGGGGGTGCTTGAGGCAACTTGCCCTTGCTGTATTGATACGACTTCCTGCAGAGACTCTGCAAATAAGGTTTACAATAGCACTTGCAAGCCCTTTATGGGTTAGTATAATTGCAAATGGACATCTGACATACACTACACTGAGCACATCTGCTTTCTGTGGATATGAAATGCCAGTACACTAAGCATGTTCTGAAATCTCTCTTTTGAAACTTGTATTTTCCTCAAAATCCATGGCTTGTTGTAATACACTGGATACAGTTAGTATTTCTCCTCCATTGACCATCTGGGCTTCTGCTCTGGAAAAAAATCTCCTGTTTAAAGGTCAGTTATCCGATTCAATTAAACAAAGAGAAGGTTTCTTTCTGTGGTCAGTTTTCCTAGCTACTATCATGCCAGAGTGTTTTAAAAATCATGTGATTGAGATGTTGACTACCCTGTCCTTTTACATATCTAGTATGATGCAGCTGTTACAGCTGAGCTAATGACAAGCAAATGTATTTACTCTGGCTCCACTTCTTCTTTGCCATATGGCACCACAGCTTCATTCCCATCTATTATGTGAAAGGAACATGTCCAAGTAGCTCCACTTTTCAATCTATAATTTTGGATACAGCATGTTGGCTTCTAGATAGATGGAGGATCATGCATGTGGTAATTTGTCCTAAATTCAATTTTTTGCAGATAAAATGCTTTGTTTTGTAAGCTTCCAGATATTGTTAAGATTTCTTAAACTTTCTTTTCAGTCTTTCTTTAAAGTTATAAAATAGCGATTCTATAGCTGTAGTGAAGGGTTTAAGAAAGTAGATTCAAAAAGGACCTAGTGATTAAAGTTATGGAATGGCTTCCTCTAGGACATAGCTGTATAAAATAGATGCCTTGGGGTTTCATGTTTCCTTTTGGTTTACGATGGGCATTAGCAGAACAAAGTTTGAGTCCAGTGGCACCTTTAAGACCAACAGAGTTTTTACTCAAGGCATAAGCTTTTATGTGCATGCACACTTCTTCAGATATAATAAAATGGAGGCAACCTTACAGCATCTTCTTTGAAGTGAGGCAGTCAGCTGTGTATGTAATGGCAGGGTCTCAGTTAGTTACTCTCAGCATTCCATGATTAAGGATACATCTGCCCATCAATCTCCAATTTGGACACATTTATTTCCTTTACTGTGTCCCCCTGGAATTTGGCCCAAACAAATGGTAACCATATAAACTAAGCTTGTTTGGTCCTTGAATCTGTTAAACCATTATGTTGTATGCTAATTTACTGCTCACCTTCTACCTATATGTATGGACGGGTAACTTCCATTTCATTGTATCTGAAGAAGTGTGCATGCACATGAATGCTTATACCTTGAATAAAACTCTAAAGGTGCCACTGTCTCAAATTTTGTTCTGCTGCTTCAGAACAACACGGCTACCCATCTGAATCTATGGTCATTAGTGTGTATCCAGCTATATATTCTAAAGACATTAAGGGCACTTAAGCTTTCTTTAGAATGTGTTGTGATATCCACTGGTTCCTTTCCCCACTGATTACTTCCCCCACTGTATCTCATGTGCTTTCTCTTAGGACCTGATTCTCCAGGAACGAACTTGGAGGGGGGGGGGAATCAGTGGACTGCAGTAGGTGAGGGGGGGCAGTGAAAACTGCTAGGCCATTTAAAAATAAGCAGCCTCAAGTCTTCAGAACTGGGTAGCTGGATATAGGTCATTGTTCACTTTGCTTTCTATTTAGTAGGGCATGTCTAAGAATGAATCAGAACTGTAACATCATTTTGTTTTAGAAATTACTAATAGTAACTCTGTCAAGGAGAGGTTAGAATGCTACCTATTTCTCATGTAGAGGGGCAATGAATTCTGCAGGGAGTGTGTTCAGCAGTCAAGCATACCATGTTCAGCTGTGGTAACCAGCCATGAGCCCATCACTAGGTCTGTTTGGTTTGGCACTGAATGACTAAAAGCTATGTAAGAACTTGCATGTTTGAAAAGCACACTGTACTGTACTGTTATGGATTAGTTGAACCAACCTGCTGAACAGCCATGAAAGTTTTGAATGGTTTAACAGTGCAATCCTAAGCTGAGTCACACACTTGGAGGTCCACTGAAGTCAGCTCTACTTAGGATTGCAGTGTAAGTAACCTATTTAGAGCTGCATAGGGGTAAAAATATTACTGAATTTTAAAAAAAACATGTATGGCATGAACAAACAGAGATGCTCATTGAAGTTCCCTTGGCTCCCTTGCCCAAAAAAGGCTTTTTAAAATATAATGCTAGTTTTTTGTTGGAGGAAAGAGAACATGTTATAGAATCATAGAGTTGGAAGGGGCCATACAGACCATCTAGTCCAGCCCCCTGCCCAATGCAGGACCAGCCTAAAGCATCTCTGACAAATATTCATCCAGCCTCTTCTTGAAAGCTGTCAGTGAAGGGGAGCTAACCACCTCCCTAGGCAGCTCCTTAGGCTTACCACCTCTGAACCACTCTGACTGTGAAAAAGTTTTTCCTAATATCCAGCTGATACCTTTCTGCATGTAATTTAAACCCGTTGCTTCGGGTCCTATCCTCTGCTGCCAATTGGAACAGCTCCTTGCCCTCCTCCAAATGATAGCCTTTCAAATATTAAAGAGAGCAATCAAGTCCCCCCTCAATCTCTTCTCCTCCAAAATAAACATTCCCAAGGCTATTAGCCTTTTCTCGTAGGGCTCAGTCTCCAGACCCCTGATCATCCTCATCGCTCAAGGTGCTCAAGGTGCGGCCTGACAAAGGCAGTATACAGAGGGGCTATGACCTCCTGCAATTTCAATGCTATTGCCCTTTTAATACAACCCAAGACTGAATTTGCCTCTTTTGCCACCGCATCACACTGAGCTCATATTTAGTTTACAGTCCGCCCTTACCCCAAAATCTCTTTCGCATACACTACTACCCAGAAACATATCCCCCATCCAGTATTTGTGCTTGACATTTTTGTGGCCCAGATGTAATACTGTGCATTTATCTTTGTTGAATTGCATCCTGTTTGCAACTGCCCACTTCTCCAGAGTATTCAAGTCTTGTTGAATTTTAACTCTATCGTCTTGGGTGTTTGTTACTCCTCCCAATTTGGTATCATTAGCAAATTTAATGAGTAGCCCTTCTACCCCTTCATCCAGATCATTAATAAGAATATTGAAAAGTACCAGACCCTGCAGCACCCCGCTGGACACCTCTTTCCAATCTGGTGAAACGCCATTGACCACCACTCTTTGGGTGTAGTCCTCTAACCAGTTCCCTATCCACCAAACTGTCCTGTAGTCCAGCCCACAGTCTTCCAGTTTGCCCATCAGAATGTCATGGGGAACTTTATCAAAAGCTTTACTGAAATCCAGGTAAATCACATCAACAGAGTTCCCACAATCCAGTAAGTTTGTCATATAATCAAAGAAGGAAACCAGGTTGGTCTGACAAGATCTGTTGGGGACAAAACCATGCTGACTTCCTTGGATCATTAAGTGGTCCTTCAGATGCTTACAGATTGATCCCTTTAAAATCTGCTCTAATATCTTCCCAGCAACAGAAGTCAGACTGACCAGGCTGTAGTTTACCAGGTCATCTTTCTTCCCTTTCTTAAACATTGGGATAACATTCGCTCCTCTCCAATCTTGTGGCACATCCCCAGTTCTCTAGGAGGCCTTGAAGATGATGGACAGAGTCTCTGCAAGTTCTGCAAGTTAACTCTGCAAGTTATCTAAAGATGTTCATTATCTCTTTCTCAATATTGGTATACACTAAACATCATTATCACTGTTGCAAAGCAGAGGGCCCCTGGAGTGGAAGAGGTCAGACGCAGAGATCTTTTCTTGGATATCAGACTGCTCTGGCCCCCTCACCCACTTTTTGCTTCCTTTTCTACCCACCCTGGTTAATTCCTGGATAGATCAGGTTTTGGTAAACCACTACCACCAACCTGGCATTTGAGGGTTCACCTTCACTTAACAGGAGCCCATGTCATCCCCCTTACCCCATGAATTCTCTTGGCAGTACCCCCTTTTATTGAAAAGAGGAGTTACCTGGATCAGCCACTAAGGCTAAGTCATATAAAAACCCCATCAGAGTTTTAAAGAGTTTTATTAAAAGGTTGCATTTGGTATAGAAATCCAAAAGGTACAAAAAGCTGCTAAGTAAAATCCCAAGGGATGAGTAGGTTCTACATAAGCATTCAGTTAGAAAAAGGAGATGGGGTTTACCCCAAAAACTGTGCCCTGAAAGCAGCAGCTCTGGGCAAATGCACACAGTAGCTGGTTGGCTGGCACTGGAAAGCTGAAACACTACAAGTGTTGGGCTGGATTTAAGCTGCACGTACCTATTTGTTTCTTTAGAGAAATTTTATTTTTATGGCACCTCTCAAGAGAATTTGCCTAAGGTGGCTTACAAGATAAAGCATAAGAACTTTCAATGTTTTATGTTTTTATTAATTAAAACCCAGCAAAATACAACCAATCAGATCATAAAAACATGGTAATTAAGCAGCTTAAAATGAATACCAGTTTCCAGACTAAAAGACACTATTAAAATGGTGGTAAAACATCAACCCCTAATTAAAAATCCTGGTTAAACAGAAACATTTTGGCCTCTTACTTAAAAGAGAGTAACACAGGCACTAGGCGATGCCATTACTGAAAAAGCCCAGTGACTGCTTGTCACCTTCCTCACCTCTGAAGGCCAGGGCATGGAGTGCCGAGCATGTGAGGCAGATCTTAACTGGAGATCTGGACAGTATGGAAGAAGGCAGTTCTTTGGGTACCCAGACCCCAAGCCATTTACGGCTCTTAAGGTAAGAGCCAGTACTTTGAATTGAGCCCAGAAACAGCTGGTGCATATCTTTCACTACTGGAGTGATATGATCCCACCCTTGACAGCATTATCAAAGACCAATGAGATTTCGGCAAAACCAAACAAGCAAATAAACATTAATATGGGTTCAAGGTTGCCAGGCAAAGAAAAGTAATAAAAGATTGCCTAAGATAGTTTACATTTCCCTTGGTCCTTCTCTGGAACAGACTGCCACAGCCCAAGCTTCTTCAGCATGAAGCCATACACTGCATCCGCTGCAGCCACTCTGGCGGACCAATTCCAAGGTAATGCTGACCTTACTTCCAGGGAGAAGAGATTTACATTTTCTTCCAATGTCCCTGGCCCTCTGTGTGAGCTTAGGCACATTTGGTCAGCTGGACTGGCTTGGATTTTACCAGGTAGATCCAGGGCAGGGAAGAGAGGGATTAGCCCCTCCTTCCAAAATCTGCATTAAGATCATGTTCCTTTACTTCTGGCTGCTGGTGGAATGCTCGGACTGTCTGAGAGGGTCATTTTGTTATAGAAACCCAGGAAATGAAAAAAATTGAGACATTTGCAGGAGTCCATAGTTTGTATGCCTTTGTTGTTGTTCAGTCGCACAGTCGAGTCCGACTCTTCGCGACCCCATGGACAATCTCCCGCCAGGCTCTCCTGTCTTCCGCCGTCCTCCGAAGTTGGCTCAATTTCATGTTCGTTGCATCGCTGACACTGTCTAACCATCTCATCCTTTGCCGTCCCCGTCTTCTTTGACCTTCAATCTTTCCCAGCATCAGGGTCTTTTCCAGTGAGTGCTCCCTTCTCATTTGGTGGCCAAAGTATTTGAGCTTCAGTTTCATTATCTGGCCTTCCAGGGAACAGTCAGGGTTGATTTCTTTGAGGATTGACTGATTTGTTCTTCTTGCAGTCCAAGGGACTCTCAAGAGTCTTCTCCAGCACCATAGTTCAAAAGAATCTATTCTTCGGCGCTCGGCCTTCCTTATAGTCCAACTCTCACAGCCATACATGACTACTGGGAATACCATTGCTTTGACCATGCGGACTTTTGTTGGCAGGGTGATGTCTCTACTTTTTATCATGCTGTTTAGGTTCGCCATCGCTTTCCTCCCAAGGAGCAGGCGTCTTTTAATTTCATGGCTGCAGTCACAGTCTGCGGTGTATGCCTACTATTCATTAAAACTGGATAAATAAGTTTGCTTTCGTTGTATCAGAACCTGACCAGTTCCATCTAGTCAATTCAGCCATCAAAACCCAGTGAATATTGATTTCATTGTCCATTCTGACTGCTGGGTATATTTCTGTGTAATCAGTGATCATACATTGAGTTAAGGATTCGAGAGTCCTGAAATGTAATTGGGGGGTGGAATCCGTTATAATCCAAATAAATTTTAATTGATAGGTCTTACGGTCAGAGAAGAGGCAAGATGTACAAGATCTTTAGTGATACATGAAATGAGATGTTGTATGGAAGGTCTTGGCCCCTTGATGTTAGTGTACTTAAGAAACTTCTTCAAGCGATCATTGGACTATGCATACTAACTACTCTTCAAAGCAAACGGGTCCAAACTACTTTTTTGTGTGTATTTTGTGTGTGCATGCATGTGCGCATGTGCCTGGAAGTGATGGCTGACTTCTGGCAACCCCTAGTGGGGCTGGAAGACAATGATGTTCAGAGAGGTGGCTTACTGCCTGCCTCTGCATCATGGCCCTGGTATTCCTTGGAGTTCTCCCATCCAAGTACTTTCCAGGGTCGGCCCTGCTTAACTTCCGAGATCTAACAAAATTGGGCTTGCCTGGGCTATCCAGGTCAGGGGTCCAAACTACTTTGTTGACTGCATTTATCCAGCATTGTGTCTAGCCAGTTGGTTTTCCTCTGCTTTTGTTCCAAGCATCCAAGTGCTTTTCTGCCAAAACTGATTAAAGCACTTTGTAGCCTTGATTTAATTAGCTCAGATGTATAATCTTGGCTGTTAAAGTCAGTATGTTACATGAACAAATTCTCCAGAGTTCATGTTAAAGTGTAAAGGATACGATGTTGTCTTTGCCTCGAGGCTCTTAAGTCCATTCCCTACTCACCCCTTACATTATCCATAACAGCATGCTGTGAATATCAACAAAAAGCATTTTAGATCAGCTGATTTCCTATTCATGTACCCAGGGTTTATTCTAGATGACTGCAATAACAGTCTAAAAAGACCTCCTTTTCAGTAGATAAAATGCCTTTGCCTTATCCTAGAGCTTTCTCTCCAGGTTATCATGTTTTAAATTTGTTATGGAAATGAGTGAAAAGAATTTTTGTACTAAAATAGAGGTAATTTTTAAAAATGTCATCAAAATGTAGTGCTTCTGTATGTCACAGTAATATCCCTTTGTTGTACCAGGACTTCACAGCTGTGTCCTCCCCCCACTGAGCTATCTCTCCCACCTCTGGACAGTATTTCTGCTAATCTTTTGACTTTTGGTAACGGTACTTTCTTCCCTATAATTCCTCAGTCTCCCCTCTGCTGAACTGGCACTCATTTTCCTTAAAGCCAGTAGAGTCTCATTTTTCTCCGAGCAATTGAACCATCAAGTTAAACATTGGCTCAGACAATGTATTTGGGGAGAGAGTGCTTCTAGTATCAATAGCTAGTGTTTAGCCTGTTACATACAAGGTGGTGTGAGTGTTTCCTTCCTTCCTTCCACCTCTCAATACTGAGCAGGGACAGGGTTGCGACTATAAAGCTGCTAGATTGGAGTCCAGTAGTGCCTTAGAGACCAACAAGATGGGGGGGGGGGTGTTAATAAGCTTTCAGAAGTCAATGCTTGTCACTCAAAAATCTTGTTGGTCTCTAAGGTGCTCCTGGACTCATGTCTGGCTGTTCTACTGCAGACCAACACAGCTTCCCTCTGAAACTATAAAACCGTGTTACTGGTTTTTGAGTAATCAGCCTAGGTTGTTGGTATTCATGAATTTCAAATGAGGGCTGTTTGTCATGTACTTACGATCTGGTTTCTTGGCCTTTACTGTTTGAAAAAAATAAAAACAATGCACCACCTATTGAGAACATTATCTTCACTAGTCTCTTTTGAAATGCCAAGGCATCCGTTCCCAGCATATTCATATGAAAAACAGCTGGACAGATCACTCGTGTCAGCTGAAGCCACTGGACTTGCCTTTTAATAAAGGTGGGCCAAGGAGTGTGTGCATTTTGTTCTGTTTCATCAAAAGTTTAAGTATCACAATTTACGTTCTAAAAAGCATGGTAGCTAAGAGTACAGTAGAACAGGCTACAGTGATGTTCTTCTAGACAAATACATGTCTTTGAATCAAGTTCCTTGGAGAGTAATAGATGGACTACAGAATTTTAAGTGGCAAGAGTTCATCCTTAAAATAATTTTCTGTAAGAGATGAGTTCTTAACTGCTAGCATATTTTCAATGCAATGCAACCAGGTTTTGTTAAAAAATCCTTTAGAAAGTGGTATAAGATGCAGTGAAATTAGTGACGGATAAACTCCCCTCACCATGAGTCAAAATCAGCTTTATTTTACAGGCATTTTCTGAAGAAAAATCTTGTCTCTTTCTGAGAGTTCTCTTCTAGCTCATGATCTTGGCTGCTTATAAGTTAAACAGAAACGGAAAAGAAAGCCTCCTCAAAGTTTCAAAGACCTTGTGGAAAAGCAAAAACACTTACACGTTGGGAACAAATTATCTGGAGTTAATGGGATTACAAAGTTACCTCATTTTTTACCATCTGTTCTTCTCATACATCCTATCCCTAATTCCACCTGACCCTTTCTCCTCTAAGTTAAATAAAACATTTTGTTTATTTCAAACTTCCAAAAGCCTCTCATGTGCCATTTCAGAAGTAGAAGATAAGGTGATTTTGTCTGTTCTCTCAAGTCCTTGGACTGGGCCAGCATCAAAATATATAAAGCATCAAAATATATAATAAAGCAACAGAGTGGGACAGCCATAAACAAACAGATAAGAAGAAAATAGCTATAGGGGCTGCTCAGCAAGAAAGAAGAAAAGGGAAAATCCTGTGCCTGAGGATGAGAAGAGGACGAGATTACCATATTCCCAAACCTTCAGGACAAGGAATTGTGAAGTCCATGAATTTCACTGACCTGAATAATCTTTATAATTTCATCCCCCTGTCTTAAAAAGAAAATGTATGTAGTTCTAATAGTAATAGCAGATAATTAACACCTGGGTTTTAGGAAGGGATGCTGTGGGTATCATATAAGGTTAAAAATCATGTATTCTGTCCCAGGTCTAACTGTAGTTATGCAGGGTGAAGAAAAGCTGGCATAAAGCAAATCTGTATAAACTTCAGCTCATTAGGATTGAAGCACAGGGACAGCACGCTCTGCTTTCCAAAAGTTGGACATCTGTGCCATAAAAATCACCCTTTAGTAGCTTTGCACAGGTCTCTCTCTGATGCTAGCGTCAGGACTTGAACAAAGCTGGACTTAAAGCAGAGAAATAGTTTGAAATATTTTTGTGATGTGATTAACTGTTTGATGGAAAGTGATCATGAGTATACAAAACGTTACACAAAGTATCTGAAGAAATATTAATGACCAACTGATCCTGCGTTCAGTGTCTCTGATCCTTCAGGTTCTCTAATGCACTGTTGGTTTACCTACATGCATAAAACAGTGAAAGCAAAGCAAGTTCATGCTTTGTGTAGAGCTTTTCTTTTGGAAAGGGTGAATTCCTTCCTCTCTAGATGGAAAGGGACATACTGGATTTAGAAGAGAAAGGTTTCAAATCCCTGCTCAGTCATGGAGTTCCATTCAGTGTAGGAACCATTCTGTGTGTGGCTGAACTGGAAACCTGGCAGAGTGCAGCCCATACCTGCTCCCAGCATCTATATATTTGTTAGTGTTTTAGGCATCACAAGACTCTGCCATGGCTGTTTGGATATTTAAATATGGGAGTCTATAAGAGGAGTCATTCCATGTTTAGAAAATGTCATTTGAATTAGCCTACAGTC